CATCTTTATTTTAAATGTCAGTTTATTTTCATTATAACAGGAAATGAAAAAAAAATTAAATCCCTGTACAAAGTTCAAGCTTCAATTTCCTCCTTTTTCTTAACAATGTCCACAAAACATGCCTTAATAAGTTTTCAATCCAATTTCCTTTTTATTCAGAATATATGTATAGCTTAATATTAGTTTCAAAAAGGGAGTTCGAGGAATTGAACCAATGATCTGTCGAAATGCAATCAAATGCTCTACCACTGAGCTACACTCCCTAGCTTCAAATAAGGAAAGAATAACATCTTTATTTTAAATGTCCGTTTACTTTTATTATAACAGGAAATGAAAAAAAGTTTAATATCTTGTACAAATTTCAAGCTTCAATTTCTTTTTTTTTCTTAAACACGTCCACAAAACATAACTTAATAACATTTTCAATCAAATTTACATTTCTAATTTGAATATATGTACATCTAAATATCAGTTTTAAAAAAGGAGTTAGAAGAATTCAACCACTGTCCTCTCGAACTGCAGTCTAATAATCTACCACTGAGCTAAACTCCCTAGCTTTAAGCAATGAAAGAATAACATCTTTATTTTAAATGTCAGTTTACTTCATTATAACAGGAAATGAAAAAAAGTTCAAATCCTTGTACAAAGTTCAAGATTCAATTTCTTTTTTTTTCCTAAAAAGTCCACAAAGCATGCCTTAATAACCTTTTTAATCAAATTTAAATTTCTAATTGGAATATATGTATATCTAAATATCAGTTTTAAAAAGGGAGTTAGAGGAATTTAATAACTGACCTCTCGAAGTGCAGTCGAATGCTCTACCACTGAGCTACACTCCCTAACTTTAAACAATGAAAGAATTACATCTTTATTTTAAATGTTAGTTTACTTTCATTATAACCGGAAATGAAAAAAAGTTTAATATCTTGTACAAATTTCAAGCTTCAAGTTCTTCTTTTTTCTTAAACACGTCCACAAAACATGCCTTAATAACCTTTTTAATCAAATTCACATTTCTAATTGGAATACATGTATATCTAAATATCAGTTTTAAAAAGGGAGTTGGTGAAATTGAGCTACTGACCTCTCGAAGTGCTATCGAATGGTCTACCACTGAGCTACACTACCTAGCTTTAACCATTGAAAGAATAACATCTTCTTTTTAAATGTCAGTTCACTTTCATTATAACAGGAAATGAAAAAAATTTAAATCCTTGTACAAATTTCAAGGTTTAATTTCTTTCTTTTTTCCTGAAATGTACACAAAACATTCCTCAATAACCTTTTTAATTGAAATTACATTTCTAATTGGAATATGTGTATATCTAAATATCAGTTTTAAAAAAGGAGTTAGAGGAATTCAACCACTAACCTCTCGAAATGCAGTCTAATAATCTACCACTGAGCTAAACTCCCTAGCTTTAAACATTGAAAGAATAACATCTTCATTTTAATTGTCAGTTTTCTTTTATTATAACAAGAAATGAAAAAAAAGTTTAAATCCTTGTACAAAGTTCAAGCTTCAATTTCCTTTCTTTTTCTTAAACACGTCCACAAAACATGCCTTAATAACCTTTTTAATCAAATATATATTTCTAATTGGAATATATGTATATCTAAATATCAGTTTTAAAAAGGGAGTTAGAGGAATTTAACCACTGACCTCTCGAAGTGCAGTCGAATGCTCTACCACTGAGCTACACTCCCTAGCTTTAAACAATGAAAGAATTACATCTTTATTTTAAATGTTAGTTTACTTTCATTATAACAGGAAATGTAAAAAAAATTTTAATATCTTGTACAAATTTCATGCTTCAAGTACTTTTTTTTCTTAAACACGTCCACAAAAAATGCCTTAATAACCTTTTTAATCAAATTCACATTTCTAATTGGAATATATGTATATCTAAATATCAGTTTTAAAAAGGGAGTTAGTGAAATTGAACCACTGACCTCTCGAACTGCTATCGAATGGTCTACCACTGAGCTACACTACCTAGCTTTAACCATTGAAAGAATAACATCTTCTTTTTAAATGTCAGTTCATTTTCATTATAACAGGAAACGAAAAAAAATTTAAATCCTTGTACAAACTTCAAGCTTTAATTTCTTTTCTTTTTCCTGAAATGTCCACAAAACATTCCTCAATAACCTTTTTAATTGAATTTACATTTCTAATTAGAATATGTGTATATGTAAATATCAGTTTTAAAAAAGAAGTTAGAGGAATTCAACCACTGACCTCTCGAACTGCAGTCGAATGCTCTACAACTGAGCTATTCTCCTCAGCTTTAAACAGTGAAAGAATAACATCTTTATTTTAATTGTCACTGACACTCTCCCTATCTCGTTTCTCATAGGTAGCAGGATCAATTGAAAGGTCAAGGGTTTTGGAAATCTTATCCTTTCTCATTAGACAGATGTTATGAAGGACCATACAAGGCAGAACATTCCCTCGTACTTTCTCACTGCTGCTTTCACACTTCTTAAGCAGCACATGCCACCTACCCTTAAGTTGGCCATAAGCACCTTCGGTTACCATTCTTGCACCGCTTAGTCTATAATTGAAGTATCTTTGCTTCTCAGACTGAATGGCATTAGTGAAAGGCTTCATCAGCCAGGTTGTAAAAGGGAAAGCAGAATTAGCAACTACCAGTGGAGTAATTATTTGTTCACCAACCATTTTCCTAACAATAGGTATATAGTTCCCTTTTTGTATTTTTGCCCACAGGTGAGTTGACTGTAAAATAATAGAATCACGTGAATTACCAGGATACCAACAACTTCCCCAAATAAATCAATACTCTGAATCTACCATAGCCATGAGAAAAACAGAGTAGAAGTTCTTAAAATTGTGGTATTCTTTGCATGATTCTGCAACACCTGGTGGGCATTATATTGGTATGTGGCAGCCATCAATAGCTGCCCAACAACAGGGAAATTGCCATCTGACTTCCATATCAATGATTTTGCTTTTAAATTCCGGTTCTGTATGTGGCATGAACTAGTCAATGCTTTCCTTCCAAAGATACTCCATAATAGCTTCACAACCCTCCTCCGTAATAGTTCTCACAGTAGATACCCCAAGGCCTGTCATCTCCGCAATCGTATAATAATATGAGCCTCATCCCAAACGATAAAGGCAAATTGCGAGCCTTAGCTCTGGAGAGATTGGCTCTTCGACGACACTTTCACGCTCAAGTTTATGGGCATTTGAACTAAGAATAAACATAAATTTTTCTCACGAGACTCTAAACGTCTTCTTAAACCTCACATTTGAGTACGTTTTCCATACAAGATTCTACCAACCAGTATTCCTTGCGAGTCGCCAAAATGAACGGTTTATAGGAAAAATAGCGTTCTTGCCTGATAACAGTATCAGCGTCAATAATACAGCTATTTGAATAACATGCTTTCTCGTAACCAAGAGACAGCGAAGAGCTGACTCGGTTATCCTTCTCCTTCTTTTTGCATGCTCAAGCATGCTCCGAATTGGAATAAGTTGCTGATTTGCTTGCCAGGCATTCTTTTGGAAAATTCAAATGAACCGCAATGCAAAATCAATAGGTGTTCCAATTTTGTAATTAAGCTCTACCTAATTAAGTTTGACGTTTGAATCAAAGTCAAATTTTTGTGGACTTTGCCGAACCTAATTCATATTAAGTTCGGCACATGAGAAGCACGCCGTTTGAAACGGGCCTTATAAACAACAACGTTAGGAAAACGATAAACTCATCTGTAACTAGAGATTGTATCCTTTTTAGAAGATCTTGTGAGAAGTTGTATTATAGATGGAAAGGATTATATTAAATATCCTTCCTAAATTTTTCCGTAGCTTCGCTTGCGACAAGACGTACATAACTGGCTAACTTGCGCATGCGTATGTCCTCTCGTACAACTCTGACAAGACCATAGCTGATGACGTACGAGAATTGCTGTTTGCCATTGTTTACAAAGTGCAGTGTAAACAATGCATACCGAAGCTACCTAATAGGTCGAGGGCAAGACTCTTTTTGCTTTGATTGGCTAAGACGTAAAAACATAATATCGATTTCACCTTTCTTGATCATATATTCAAGATAAAATAATCGATTTTTCTCTTTAATGTGCAAGTTATTCGATTGACATGCATGCTAAAGTTGATAAGTATTACTACAGCTACATAATGGTTAAAAATTTTTTGGTTCCATGGCCTATATGTTGTAGTTGTGAAATATCGCTACTTGAGCGTTGTACTATTACTGTTTTAGTATACTACACATACAGTATGACCAGGTTCCAAGTCTGTACTCATATTGCAAGTAATGATGCAGACAAGAAAGCTTCAGGACAGAAATATAGACGACTAAGACGCTCAAAGTCAAAACTTTCTGTAATGGATCGGGACTCACGGCTGACTTAGCAATTTTATTAACAAACCGAAATAGAAAAATATACTTGGAGCATGGTATTGATGATTCTTGGTTCAATCAAGCAGAGACAAAATGCCCTTTTTCCTTTGTTCAGTGAAATAATAATTTGAAAACGTTGATATATATACTTTTAAAATATTTTAAAGTATACTACTGGACCCCGTCATTTTTATCACATAGATTTTTCATGTTTTTCTTTGTGATGATAATTGAAGCTGGTGCTCCTCACATTTTTTCAAAAACTTCTTTAGTTGCTAACTCATTTCTTGTGTGATATTTCCGAGGCTATGTGCAAGCGTAGCGATTTTTTGTTTCAGAATGGCGGATCACAACACGGTTATTTTAAGGTCTGTTTCCTGCTTCTACTATAAATGTCCATCGAACGGGTAAAACATAGCTATTCTAGGATAGTGCCACCAGACTATAGAATTTATTTCAGTGAAAAGACTACCCAATCATTCTTTTTATACGTCCGTCCGCACATCTGGCAGTCTGCATCCGCATTTTATCCCAACCCCAAACTATTCTGACGTAAAACTATTTTATAAACGCCCAATTTTAATTGTTACTTACCCCCCGTCTCAACACCTTGGTCTACACATTACGGACACAATCGCATTATTTCACTGTTTCTTGCTAAACGTAAAAAGCAGTTGAAGTGAATTCAGTAAACTAATGAACTTATACCGCCAGGCAGAGTGCAAATACTGCTTTCAAGAATAGAAAGAGGAATATATTACACGTTTCAGTGAGTTCATATTATGCATAATCGATTAAAATACCTTCGAGCCAACACAGGACAGCATTACATTGAAACGTTGGCAGATAAAATGAATGTCGATCAAATTAAAGTTAGCGCGTAACAGGTAAATTATTTAAAGCACTCTTACATGGCATGTACGAAGTGATGACGAAATTATAACATTTACAGTCATCTGTAAAGTATCAATTTTTATAGATGGTTCATGTTTCTCACGGCATTAAATTTCCCCAGCAAGGTGAATTTTAATGTCGTGATAATGACTTCTCTCCTATGTCGTTAAACGTATGACTTCTCACCTAAACTTTAAACATTTGGCTAAGTAGTACGGCTCCCCATTCCATCATGGGTATACATCTGTTCAGCGCTCGGCTATTTTATTCCACTCCATACGTGTTGGTAGACAAAATGTGCTTTCATTGTGTATAACAAAGGAGACACGAGACGGTTAAACGGCGATGACGATGTCTCATTATTTGTGCCGTTCTCTTTACGTATTAAAGTTTAAATATTTCAACAATGTTTATTTACTTGATTGTATTCGATTATTTGACATGAATTTCGCCATTCTTATGATTATTGAATTCTGAAACATATTGACAATGTACTCATGGCAGGCCTGATGGTGTATGACAAATATGTTTATAAAGTTGAGCTCATTTGTTTGCCTATAACAATAATAACAATAATAATGATAACAATTGTAATAATATTAATAGTTATCAACTGGCTACGCTTTGCCGGTAAATTAATAATTCTCATTTGTAAACACTCAAATGTTCGCATCAATTGTCACTTAAATGGAAAATGTTGACTCACCCTTCCAAATATACATTTTTTCTCATGTAACATTTGCGGAGTTTTAGAAATTCTACTTCAAAATAACAGAAATCTCGTTAATATAAAGGGATGTTATGTTAAGTTCATTTATGTTCAATTTCTCATTTCTCATTCGAATTTTGAGGGTGGCTCAATATTGTACAAATCGAGTTATGGCTTGAAATTCTTTCGAATAACCCGATACCTTTCAAATTGTGACAAAATAGACACAACACAGACGCAAACGCCAAACAACAACTCTATTTAAAAAAGGTGGTAATTTTTGTGAGCTTTTTACCTTAATTATAATTCAGTTTGAAATATAACTTATACCTTTATGGTAAAGTAAATGGTTTGAACCCGGGAGTATCTTTACATGTTTGTAAATGATGATCGTCCAGGTTAATAAAGTCCTGAGAAGGACTGTTTTTGTTTTTGTTGACTGACGTTTCGACAACCTTAGCGGTAGTCATCTTCAGAGTCAAATGAGGAGTAAGGGGCCGTTTATATGGTCTCGGGTACTATGGTTACCCTACTGCCCGAGACAAAGTTGTCTAGCGTTTACATGAGAGATTGCACGCTCTCTTTTTAACTCGTTCCCAGTTCACTCTACACTCAACAAAATCCAAGATGGATAACGCAGAAATTGTATTTTCTATATGCCCCATAATTTTGAATATAGTGTCGGTTCTTTCCATGTTAGACGCATGTATTACATTGCTTACTGTGCACCAGCAAATGCAGCAAGATATTCTCCTGTGCTTGGGCACAGCTAAGGAAAATCCTCATGTTTTGAAAGCAAAACGAAAAATTACAAGTCGACGAGGAAGATTTCGTTCATGCTGGCAGAAGCCCGGTAGGACAGAGCGATGGTGGAGTAATCTCTGGCTCGGTGAACTTGATCTCCAGGAGTGGAACTTGAATCTTCGCATGAGCAAAGACGATTTCATGAAATTGGTTCAAGAACTCGAACCTTTTATTAAACCAAATTTTGCAACTCCTAATTGGACATCAGTTTCAGTCGAAAAAAAAGTAGCATTAACTTTATATTTTCTTAAAGATGCTGGCTCTATTCGAATGACTGCAAACTCCTTTGGAGTTGCTACACCAACTGTCTCCAAAACTGTCAACGAAGTCTGTCGAGCAATCAGCAAATATCTTGATCCCAAGTACATCAAGTTACCGCAATCTTCTGAAGAAATGAGAGAATTAATCATAAGGTTTGAATCAAAGCATGGTTTCCCTCAAGCCTTTGGATGCATAGACGGCACCCACATTGCTATCCAACAACCATTAGAGAACTCTCACGATTATTTTTCTTACAAGATGAAATATACCTTGAACATCCAAGCAGTTTGTGACTATAGAGGGTTATTCCTTGACGTTGACTGCCGATGGCCAGGGAGTGTGCACTAGAGTTTTTAGTAACTCTAAAATAAACAAAATGCTGAGAGAAAACAAGTTGCCTAGTGTTTATCGGAATTTAGTTCCAGGCCACGACAAGGTATCATCTCTGCTTCTTGCGGACCCAGCTTATCCATTACTGCCATATTGCATGACTGAGTTTGAATGTTGCAAGAGTAATGAAGAAGTCATTTTTAACAATCTGTTGAGATCCTCAAGGAATCAGATTGAGTGTGCCTTTGGACGATTGAAAGCTAGATGGCAAAAACTTAACACTGTACTAAACCTGAAGAATGAAAATGTTCCTTATATGATATATGCATGTTTTGTTTTACATAACTTTTGTCAATTACACGGAATTCACGACGATGATGATGGTGTTTTGAAGCAAATTAAATATGATAGGGAAGTACAACCAGATATTCAGCAAGACTTGATTTTCTCTTGTAATACTGCTGAAGGAACATCTACCAGAAAGACAATAGTTGCTTTTCTAAAGGAACACAATGAGCTCTAATTTTTTACTTGAGTTTTAATAGTGAATAAAGCTACCAAAAGTATCTGTTTTTAATTTCTCTGATTTGATACCTGTACAAGTCAGCCAAAATCACATTACATAACAATCATAAGTAGTAACTGAAGTTTTGTTTCTGTGCATAAACAATACAATAAATTTATAAACTAGTCCTCATATAGCTATTAAACAAAATAATAATCTTCCCCAGCTAACATATAAGTTACTGCAACTAATGCAATGTTTCATGAGTTTCACTTGAATAAGAGAAAGATGTGTTTGGGATGGAAAATGACAATGGTTGATTAAAATCATATGGAAAACATGAGGAATAATTTCTTCTAGGTTGGGAGAAGCTATTTGCAATAGACAACATTGCTTGGGTCATTCCTTGTGTCATTTCTTTCAAAGTAGAAGACATGTTTTCAATTGCACGAGCTGTTGTTTTAGATGATTCCTTAAAACATTCAAGCATTTCTCTTCTCATTTCTGTGTCTTCCTTTGCGGCGTCCATCAGCTTCTGGTCTCGTTGTGCTGCTGATAATCTCTTCTCTAGATTTTTACGCTTATTGTCTATTAGCCGTGGCACATTTGAAGATGATAGATCAATTTTTCTTTTTTGTGCAAAAGCACAAGAAAATGTAGAGCCAATATTTTCTCCATATAAACTATCCAACTCTGATTCACTGTTTTCTACATCTGCATCTAATGTACTCAAAGCTGTTTCAGGGCGAGAGCAATCTATTTACAAAAAATAAGTAACCACATAAGAAAGGAGCACTACATTAAATTAGACTCTTGCACAAAAGAATGACTGGTTTTTATTGAAAGTTATACCTACCACAGAAGATCAAATTTCTGTATTTTGTGACGACAACTGAACAGAATCTTGTAGCAGAATATTTAAAATTGTTTATTATTTATTACCTGACTGTTCTTTCCCAGAATAATTGATACTTTGTGTATCCACTCCAAAAGATAGAGAATCTGTAGAAGGAGAGCCACTCCAGATTATAGCAAGTTTGTCAAAATATTCCAAAACGATTTTCCCACTACCACTTCTACGGCCGCTAGTAATTGCTTTCGAGTAGTCTTGTCTAATACTTTTTATTTTCTCTTTTATACGAAGGTAACCAACTTTAATTTGTTTTAAATCCAAATCATGGCCTGTCTTATACTGATCGTATTCGTCTTTTGTCATTTCTTTGACAGGTTTTTCGGGTTCACACGCTTGTTGGGGACCAAAATCTTCTTGATATGATTTGGAAAGAATTTTCCTCACTTCCTCGAACAGACGTACTCTGTCGGCATTGAAGTCAATTGAGTTAAATTCGGACATATTTTTATATTCTTGCAATGCACTTATTAATGCATCAATCATTTGGGGAGACCAAGACCATTTTTTTGACTTCTTACTTGAAGAAGCTTTGCTTGCACTTGCTCCGTTATTCCAGTTGCTCGTATTCGCCGCCATATTGCTGCAATGTTTACATTACTTTGCGCATGCGTTATCCAAAACTTGTCCCTGGTGCCAGGGCCAAAGTGTTTATAAGACAGAAACTTGTCTCGTCAAGTAGGGTTACCCTCTTTCCTAAACAGTGTAACCCTACTCCTAGGGTTACCCTGTGCGAAAGAATTTCTCATGTAAACGCTCGCTGCTAATCTAGTATAAAATTATAATAACTAAGCCCTCCCAGGGTGTCTCGGGCAGTAGGGTAACTCTAGTACCCGAGACCATATAAACGGCCCCTAAACGTCAGGTTAGCCGTGTTTGTTATCTGGTTCTTACGTCATTGTATTGTGTGTGCAGGAAATGTGTATTGTCATTGTGGATTAGTGTGAAGTGAAATATTTTATTTTTAGTTGTGATGTGTTATTTAGGTGTGATGTTTTTAGTTGTAATGTGTGGGTGTCAATTGTGTATTGTCATTGTGAATTAGTGTGAAGTGTAATGTTTTAGTTGATCGTTTGTTTGTATTGTGAATAAGTCGTTTGTAAGGTGCCGGTAATTGCTGTGATCTGTTCAAGGGGGTTTGTTCCAAGTTGGTATACCAACTTTCTAATGTAAGCCGTTGTCTATAGTCAGTACTGTAAGTAATGCATTTTCCCGAGTCCCAGTCAATGTTGTGCTTTGTGATTCGGTGATGTTCGGCAATGTGATTAGTTTTGTCTTGTTTCTTAGTAGCTCGTTTGTGTTCAGTAAGTCTTATGTTTAAGTTCCTGCCAGTTTCCCCGATATAGGAGGCGTGGCAGTCGGAGCAGTTTATTTTGTAAACTGCACCTTGTCGTTCGTTGGGTTGTTCTTTGCCCTTTATGTTCGTTAGTACTTGTCGTAACGTTGTGATTTGTTTATGGGCGACACGTATGTTGTATGAATGTCAAATCTTCATTTAACGTATGTTGTATGGTCGTAAGATACGCGAGATAGTCTCAGACGTACCTTTGATGTAAGGTATCGTTGCTGTTGTCACTGAGTTGTTCGTTTCATTGGGTTCATTGGGTTTGTAAGTGTTGCGTTTGATAAAGTCAGAGTTATAGTTTTTTTTGTCAAAAACACGTTTGAGATAGTTGTTTTCGTTGTGTAGAGCGTCCGGTGAATCACATATGATTTGTGCACGTCTTGTTAATGTTCTGATTGTGGTGGCTTTGTGTGATGTAGGGTTGTAAGATGATTGGTCTAGTAGTCGGTCAGTATGTGTTGGCTTGCGATAAACTGTTGTTCGTAGTTTTTGATTGTCATGTTTTATCAAACAGTCGAGAAAAGGAAGAGTTCCGTTTTCTTCGACATCTTTGGTAAATTGTATGTGGCTGTTCTGTTTGTTGATGTGAGTATAAAAGTCATCAATGTCGTCTGCATGTAGTGCCGTGATTGTGTCATCTACGTAGCGAAACCAAAAAGGTAGTGCATGTTTGTAAGTCGTGAGCGCCCGTTCCTCTATAGATTGCATTACAATTTCAGCAACTACAACAGAAACGGGCGAGCCCATTGCTGTCCCATGTAATTGTTTGTAGTGTGTTCCTTTTTATTGGAAGTAAGTCGAGGTGAGGCAGAGCTCCAGTAGCTCCATAATGTCTTCTGTCGGTAATGGTAGTACGTCCGTGGTGTTTGTAATGAGGGTTTTTGTACAAGTGCCAGATTAAGTGGAATACTGGTGAATAGTTATTTCACATCAAAAGACACTAGTATATAGTTGTCAGGTATTTGTATAGTGCACAGTTTTTTAATGAAAGTTTCAGTGGATTGTAGCTTGTGTTTTGATTTGTTTGTAAGTGGTTGCAGTATGTCAGTCAAGTACTTTGAAAGTTCGTAAGTAGGTGAACCACAAAATGATACAATTGCTCGCATGGGTATTTGTTGTTTGTGAAGTTTTGGTAGTCCGTATAGTCTGGGTGGTCGTGGTACTGAACATCTGAGTCGATAGTAAATACGTTCAGATATAATGTTAGATTTTCTCATAGAGAACATCTTGCTGTTAAGTTTGCGTACTAGTGATGGTGTTGGGTCTCGTTTGAGTTGTTCGTACGTTTGTCTGTCGTTAACAAGGGTGTCCATTTTGTTAAAGTAATCATTCCTGTCCATGACCACAGTTACGCGTCCTTTGTCTGCTGGTAAAATCACGATGTTGTTGTCGTGTTTTAGTCGTTTTAGTGCTTGTTGTTCGTCTTTTGTCAAGTTGCTCTCACGTATGGAGGACGATTGTAAAGTGGAGGCTATCCTGCTTCTGATTTCGTCTTTGGTTGTCTCTGACAGGTCTCTTTGATACGCTAAGACAGCCTCGACACTTGATACTATCGTCTCAGTCGGGATTCGTCTAGGTGTTATGGAATGTTTTAGTCCGTAAGATAATAGTCGTGTTTCAGTTTCGTTTAATGAGTGGGAAGAAATATGCCTCACCCAGTTATCGTCATGTTTATGTCTTCTACGTGTTTTAGTTTGTTTTGAACGTTCAAGTTTTTGTTGTTGTTTGATTTGGTGTTGTGTCTCTGTCTTGTTTGCTCGTTTCTCTGCAATAGTTTGTATCGTAGAAAGTAAAGTATCACTTACTGTCGTTGGTATGAGTTCCTTCAGTTTGTTCAGTCTTTGTTCTTGTTGTTTGATGTAATAGTTGATTCGTCTGTGACAGTCGTTAATTCGTGCTCGTATCAGTCATCTGCTGGTGGATTTGACAATCTGAATAGCCTCTTGTGTGTTCAACGTTGACTTAATTCTAAGTCCTGCCGGAACGAGACCAAAATCCTTGCAGCAGTGGTTGAATCAGAGTTGTTGGCGTATGCGTCTGACGTTGCTTGCAAAACGTATGTAGTCGTTAGCAAGTTGTTCGCTCTGTCGTCCAAATGATCCTAATAAAGTAAATGGTGGCCCATTGCTATCATCACTATTTTCCGTGTGTCAATATTATTTTCAGTTGTATTTTCATTTCAAAAACAAATTTCACATGAAACTTTACTTTACAATGTAAATTTGAAATTAATTTTATTATTTAAATACGTATTATATTTTCATTCTAAAAGCGTAAATGAAATTTAAAAAGCACTTTCCTACGCGTGGCCCAGCGCTATCACCACTGATCTGATAATAGTCTGGATATAGTTTCTATAGTTAGCAAATAAGTGAAGCCATTGAGTTCTATAATAACTGGAGCGGCTATCTCAAGCGCGGCCTTAGATATCTGATGATGCCAAAAAAATGGCGGATTTCGTCCTTTGCCGCTGAGAGTTACCGAAATTGACCGCTTTTCCGAAAATTTCATAACTTCCCACTCCCTCGTGAGAAAAGAGTGAGGAAAATGTATGTGTGTATTTGAGATTCGGCAAGCAATTTTTTGATGAAAATCAAGGTAAAAACCTTAAATTCATAACAGCGAGTCAACTGTGGTTGTCAGTTATCTGCTCCTACGAGGATGCATTTATAACTATCGACGAAAGACCTATATGTCGGCTACACATGTATGAATGCAGATGTGCGTCGTTTTCTTACCAGCGTCAAACTTGTTTGATCGATTAAACTCTTTGGTCTATACAAAAAAGTATATCA